GGTCGTTCAGAGTGCCGACAAAGTAGCGGTTGACTTGCAAAGCAATGCATTATGCATCATTTCTTCATGGACTCGGCATACTGCATGCGTTCATGCTGCAATGCCCTGAACAATGAACAAGGTAATTTGAGGACCTCATTGTGACCAATGGACAAGTGATTCAGGCTTGGACACCTTTTATGTTTCTGATGTTTTCCAATACCAGATGATCTTTGTTTTGTTGTACAAAACACTCGTCTGTATGCAGATGACACACTTCAGCAACACATTGTCAATATTCCAATTCTGGCCCAGAAATTTATACTCTAAAAGCTATATTAGGATGAAGCACGCTTTATTAGCAACATTCGACAACATGATTTTTTTTTTTTTTTTTAAACAACAACCCGGGATGATGTTAGGGGCGCTGATAAGAGCAGGCACCCCTAGCAATCTCGGGAGGGCTCCATCTATTGGTGGGGAGCAGCACCTTGATCTTCAAGCCGCTCAACAATATGCTTTCACTTCCCGCCTCATTCATGATGTGCTTTCATGGAGACCGTTACCTCATCCACCAGATTATGGCCTCAAGTGGAAGAAAACTCCGTGACAAATAGCTCGTGTACCTTTTTCGTTGTGCAACTACGAGTCCATTCGGATGGCTTGCTTTGCATGAGCATCTTTGATAAAGCGGCTGCTTGGTAATTCCCTGTCATTCGTTATCTAAGCCTAATCTCCAGCACCCCTGCTTATCGATATGAGTGGTTTGCGAGTAGACGGATTGGGAATCCTTAGCAGGGTATGTTCAACTTGAGGAAAAGTAGGGAGGAAGGTGATAGCCCCATGACATTAAAACTCGTGTCATCTTCTTCTTATTGGTAATAATATTATTTTTCCATCCCTTCCCATCAATTGGCTGATGTGTTCACTGAGCAATTGACCAGATTTGAAGAAATATGTCACAATTGATGGGACTTTCAAACTGCGGCAACGACACTTACTCGTCGCATGCTTTCTTGTAGGCATTCCACACCGACACTTGCTAAGAGGTGGACATGCTACATGCCAAAAAGTCAGTAGTTTGGAGAAGGAAAAAAAATGGGGTTAGAAACGGTTACCCTACAATCCCATATATATATATATATATTCCATTCATTAGTCGGGGAAAAATCACCAAAGGCATGCGGCCCCAACCCAACTGCGACGGTCACGTGGCCGCGGTTGAGATCCGGACCGTGGCCAGGTTCGACCACGCGGTTGCGACCTCGGGGGACACATAGGTTCGGATGGCTTGCTTTGCACGGACATTTTTGATAAAGCGGCTGCTTGGGACTTCCTTGTCATTCGTTATCTAAGTCTAACCTCCAGCATCTCTTCTTATCAATATGAGTGGCATATGAGTAGAAGGATTGGAAATCCTTAGCAGGGTGTGTTCAACTTGAGGAAAATAGGGAGGAAGGTGATAGCGCGGGTATTAGCACCATGACATTAAAACTCATGGCATCTTCTTATTGGTAACAAATTACTAACAATCTGAGTACGGACGCCGCCCGGCCGGGCTGGGCTGGGTGGGCCGCCCGGGCAAACCGGGCGGGCAAAAAAACAGTCCAGAATTTTTTTTATTTCTTTTTTGAAGGCGGGGTCCTCCTGTGCTCGGCGAGAGGACCCCGAATCTGCAATAAAATTCTGGTTTGGGGGGGGGAAGGGTTGTTATACACATCTAGATGTGTATAAGAGACAGGTGTGTGTGTGTGTGTGTCTGTGTGTGATCGCGTGGGGGAGGCGACCCCCCCCCCGCCGAGCAATCAATCAATAAATAAATCTAACAACATTTTTAATTGATTTTTTTTATTTTTATTTTCGTTTTTTTTCTCATGATCAATCAATCAATCAATCAATCAATCAATTAACCAATCAATCAATCAATCAATCAATCAACCAATCAATCAATAATCAATCAATCAATCAATCAATCAATTAATCAATAATCAATCTTTTTATCGATCAATCAATCAATCAATCAATCAATCAATCAATCAA